ATTTAAAGGGCTGAAAGAGAAGAACTATCAAATGAGAATATTATATTTGACTATACTGTTCTTAAAGAATAAGGGTGGAATTATGACATTCCCAGATAAACAAAAGCTGAGAAAAATTGTTACCACTAGACCTGTATTACCAAAAATGCTAAAGGGTGTACTTTATTTGAGAAAGAAATGATACTAGACAGTAACTCAAAACCATACACAATGTGTGTGTGTTGGGGGCTGCAGAAAAAGACAAGAACACAAGAAATGTTCCAGTGTTTGTGTTCTAATTGTCATAATTCCTGTTATTTTATTTTATTTTTTTTTACTAATTTTTTTTTTCCTGATCTCCCATGGTTGATTGTTCTAAGGAGTATACCTACCTGGTGTAATTGTTCACCTTTTAGGCCTGTCTATTTGGCTAGAAGCCACAGGAGTAAGTTGAATACCAGGCCCAAAGAGTGACTGGGGGCCATAGTCTCGGGTTTCACCAGTCTCTACCAGATGAGAAAGCCTGGTCTTTTTTACGATTTTTAGGTTTGTTCCACATTTTTCTCCCACTCCATCTAGGATCTCCTATTTTCATCCCTTTTCCAGTGGTTGACAACAGTAGCTGGGTACCGTCTAGTTCTGGCCTCAGGGTCATGCAGGCTGAGGTTCACATAGTCCACTAGTCCAGAGTAATTGTTTCGTTGCATCTCTGATATTCTTCATTCTTCTTTGCTCCAGACAAAGACCAGTTGTTGCATCTTAGCTGGCTGCTTGTAGGCTTTTAACACCCCAGTTGCTACTCACCAGAGTAGGAGGTAGAGCATTGTTTTTGTGTAGAATGTTATGCCAGTTGAGCTTGATACCCCCGTGACCATGGTCCAGAGCCCATGGGCCAAGCGACTCTCTCATTGTGTTTGGCTGTGGCTAAGAAGTTACCATAACTTTGCTCTGTTAGCTCTGTTTTATATATGTGGGCATTCTGATAGCACATACAAATACATATGTAGAAATACTGTCTGCCAAGCTTACATTATGGTCATGGATATATATATCCCTTTTGCCCAGATATAGTTGATCATTTAGCCTGTCTACCTATGTATCTACCTATAGACTAATGTTTATTATTGCTGATAATGCAGTATTGTGTATATAAAATTGTTTATCTTTGTTATCTGTACTTCTTGCTCTCTCTGTCTTCCTTTTCCTTAGCGTTAACTGTGTTGGTCACTCACTTTTGGTATATTGCCTTTCCTTTCAACCAAATCAGTAATTGTCTCTTGCTTATATAGCAGTTTTCCCTCCTCTCACATCATGTCCCTGGTAACCAAAATAGAAAATTTCCTTCTATGTGTAAACCTTTCCTTAACCTTTTACAGTAGTGGATTCGTGCAGTATTTCTCTTGTGAGTGACTTATTTCACTCATCATAAAGTCTTCCAAGTTCACCCACATTATGAGGTGTTTCATGGATTCTACATTATTCTTAATATTGCATAGTATTCCATCGTGCATATGTACCATAGTTTGGTTATCCATACATCTGTTGATGGGCACTTAGATTATTTCCATCTCTTTGCTATTGTGAATAGTGCTGTGATGAACATAGGTGTGTATGTACCTATTCATGTCCTAGTTCTGATTTCTTTAGTATATATACCTAGTAATGGGATTGCTGAAACAAATGTTATTTCTATTTCCAACGTTTTAAGGAATCACCATACTGCTTTCCACAGTGGTTGTATCATTTCAGTCACACCAGCAGTGTGTGAGAGTTCCAGTCTCTCCACATCCTCACCAGGATTTGTTACTTTCTGTCCTGTTGAATTTTGCTGTTAGTGCTGGAGTGAGATGATATCTCATTGTCATTTTGACTTGAATCTTTCTAATGGCCAATAATCACCAACATTTCTTCATGTGTTTGTTAGCCACCTGTATATTTTCTTTGGTGAAGTGTCTGTTCATGTTTTCTGCCCATTTTTTAATTGGTTTGTTTGTCTTTTTGAAGCTGAGGTATTGGAATTTTCTATAACTTTTAGAGGTAAGTTCCTTGTCAGATATGTTGTTGCCAAATATTTTCCGCCAATCCATAGGCTCTCTTTTCAGTCTTTTGGAGAAGTCTTTCAATGCTCATAAGAATTTAATTTTTAAAAGTTCCAGTTATCTAGTTATCTTCCCCTATTCGTGCATTTTCACTTATGTTTGATAGCCTATTAATGCTATGTATTAGCACTCCTAAGTTTGCCCCTGCTTTTGTTTGATGAACTTTATACTTCTAGTTTTACATTCAAGTCTTTGATCCATCTGGAGTTACTTTTTGTGTATGGTGTGAGGTAAGGATCGTGTTTCATTTTATTGCAAATGGATATCCAGTTTTGCCACCAACATTTATTAAAGAGACTATCTCTTCCCCATTTAATGGATTTCAGCCCTTTGTCAAAGATCAGTTGACCATATTTGGATGGATCTAATTCTGGGTTCTCAACTGTATTCCATTGGTCTATATGTCTGTCATTATACAGTACCAGGCAGTTTTGACTACTGTGGCTGTAGCATTTGAGATCAGGAAAGGTAAGACCTTCTACTTTATTCTTCTTCAGTAGTGTTTTGATTATCCAAGGCTCGCTCTTTCCATATAAAAGTAGAGCTTGGTTTTTCCATATCCCTAGAAAATGCTAATGGAATCTGGATTGAGATTGCATTGAATATGTAGATTGCTTTGGGTAGTAGTTTTATTTTCACAGTGTTCAGTCTTCCTATCCATGAAACTGAGATATTCTTCCATTTATGTAGGTCTCTTAGAGTATCTCGTAGTAGTGTTTTGTAGTTTTCTTTTCTTTATATAGGTATTTTGTGTTCTTGGTAAGATTTATTCCCAGATATTTTATCTTTTGGGTAGCTATTGCAAATGGTATTGTTTTCTTTATTTCCTTTTCAGAGATCTCTTTGCTGGTGTAGAGGAATCCAACTGATTTTTGTATGTTGATCTTGTATCCTGCCACTACACTAAATCTTTCAATTAGTTCCAGGAGTTTTCTTGCTGAATCTCTTGGGTTTTCTGTGTATAGGATCAATAATCCCTGTTATTCTTGTTCTCCAAAGTGTTCTGCTTTTTCTCTTTCCTGTGGGGCCTTATTTAGTCAGTGATTCCTTCCTTCTCCTAGGTTTTCTACCTTCCTTCCCTAGCTGCTAGTAAACATTTAAAAGCTGTTTATCAGCGCCATATTCTAGAAGATACAGTAATTTTCTGTGCATCTGAAAAGTAACACATCCATGGCTCAACCAATGTAACCTCTCTCTGGTCTCAGACTTTGCTCCCAGGGGAGAAGGCCCCTGGCACTGCCTGCTCTTGTCCTGCTTGGTGTTTGCAGGGCCCTGGAATGTGATAAAGACTCAGTGTACTCCTCTAGCCATCACCTCACTGGAAATGATGATGGCCACTAGGTTCCAGTAGGGACTTCTATTGATTCTTCTTCCTTCAGGTGTCACTTGAGTCTCTGCCTTCTTCCATTGGCATTGCTACTATCCTACTCAGGGCCACAGTTGCCCCTTCAGACCATGTACACTCTGATGTGCTTCCTTCAGACCCATGCTCCAGCCCAGACTAAGTGCCTCACCATACACCACTGGTCCTGTCCCTCTCCAGCTTTTTATCCTCTTAGGGAAAAGTCCAAATTCCCCCCATTGTTCCTTATATGCAGGTTGTGCCCCCACACCACTCTTGTTTACCATCTTTGCCTGAGCTCTCCGAGTTTCAGCTCTGTACATTATACCAACTGCATGCTCTACATCAAGACCTTGGTTCATACTGTTCCTCCCCTGTCCCACACTGCAGAGAGGGGCAAGGAGGGCACATGTTCTGACCTCCTCTTATCCCACAAGAGGAAGACAGAATCACCATCAATAGCCCAAGGCCTGTTACTTCAAGGCCAGACATGGTGCCTCCCTCCAGCCCTTTCACCAACTGTTCCTCCCAAAGTACCACCACCTGTCTCCTGGATTCAATAATTTGCTGCAGTGGCCACACAGAACTCAGAGATTATGATGTTTATTAGGGAAGCACCAGGTTACAATTCAAGTTCAGGAAAAACGTTCAGTCTCTCTCTCAGCCCACCGTCTCTCAGCCAAAAGTCTCTCACAGTCTCTCTCCCAACAGTGCATGCCCCTTGGTGTCTCACTGAGCAATGCATGTCTCTTGAGTCTCTTTCCCAGCAGCGCGTGTCTCTTCCAGCAGCCCATGTCGCTTGTAGCAGCACGTCTCTCGCAGGAGTGCATCCTTCCTCAGCCAGCAGTCAGAGAGAGTTCTGTCTCTAGGAGACCTCCTTTTGAGCCTGGCAGAGTGGCCAAACTAGCCAATCACAGCATTAGAACTCTAAGCACCTGAGAGAGAGTGGGAACCTCCCAGAACATTGTTTTGTGCCACTCCCAACAGAAATACTCCAGGTGGACAACTTTAGCAATCAGGAACTCCTCAGTTGCTCATAGCAAATCCCACCTTGGAGTTTACAAAGACTTATGGGTAGAAAAGCCACACTAAGTAATTTACTACACCGCACACACCCTGTGCCCAGCCACTCCAGGGTCCCTGGCCCTTGTTGCATCTTTGTGGTCAGACTTTTCCCCAGATACTTGCTGCTGAAGCAAGTTAGGCCCTGCCACTCATGAGCCTGTGGTTGATAAGAAGGATTGTGTCCTAGTGTGTTCTTAGGGCCAGGCTAGCCCAGCCACACATAGTGCCCAGCACTTATCCATGACTGAGTAGGCCCTTCTCACCCTGAGAATGCTGGGGAGACTCAAGATGATAATCAGGAAACATGACCCTGCCCACCTGCCTGCCTATGCCCTCCTTGCTGCTGGGCACCCATCTCTTCGTGACTTGACAAAGAGTTTGCAGTTATTTAATGATGTATGCTTAACCAAATGTGACTTTTAGGGAACAGGTGGTGATAAACAAAATTCTAACATGATTTCTTTATGGGTGATGTTTTCTATGTTGGATTCTGAATTCCGTTTGATATGTCTTAGGAGGCAGCTTTCCGAAAAGTCGTGCAAGCAACCATGGTGCGAGACCGTCAGCACGGCCCTGTGGTGGAGTTGAACCGGATCCAGGTAACAAGGGAAGGGTTCCTTGAGACCACACATCTCAGGTGCAGTGCTTCCATGGATTACAAATAGTGTGCCCTCAGCAACAGGGAAAAGGGTGCTTATGGAGTACTTCGTGAGTGCTGATGCTTTAAAGAACAGGTGACTCTTTGACACTGCCTCTAGGTAATGTCCTGTGATTCTTAGGCTTCCAGATAGGAACTGGGTTTTTGTTTTGTTTTCTTCCTTTATAATAGAAGTAATATTTATTTGAGATCATACTGAAATACAAATATAGATAAGAAGAAAAGAGGAAATGAAAATTGGCCATCTTTGTGCCCCATAGTGATAACAGTCATTGTTACACATCTTGGGAGATGTGTGTTTGTTTTAGCCAGAGCTGGATACTGTCTTGTAACTTTTTTTTTTTTTTTTTTTGCATTTAATGCATTGTGAACAGCGCCCCACACCATTAAGTAGGATTCTCTGGCATTGTTTGTGTTTAATGGCTGCCTGTGTTCTTTTGGAAGGATATATCCCAATCTGTATCAGAGTCCTCTGGCCGGGGCTCAAAGCTGCCTCATTTTCTTTGATGTAGACAGGGTTGCTTGATAGGCCACATCTACATGTCATCTTCACATGATCCTTTTATTGATGCTGAGAAGTCTCACTGGGTCATCAGAGGCCATCGCGTCCTACATTACATGAATGTGACAGTTCACCTTCCTACCATCAGTGTGTGCTACCTCACACCTTCCCCAGCTCAGGTAGTTTTCGTTCCCAATTTTTAACAGGCCAAGGTTACTAGGACTGTCTCATGACAGTAATCAAAGAAATGAAAAGTAGACCACGTCTGAATTTATACTGCTACTGAGTTCATATAAGCTTATGGTTTAAAAAAAAATAATGAAAGAAAGAAAAATACTGGCTATGGATTACTCTGCTGTGAGGCACTTGACATTTATGTGTAAATGAGCTTGGTCCAGCCTCTTGGAACAGAAACAGAGAACTGTGAAGAAAAAATTCTTTGTTCCTATACCTTTGGTATTAACGCATGATTTTTACCCTGATGTTGGTTACGTGACTAGAAGTTTTCCCAGAGTTGTACTTGGGGGCATTTTGAATGAAGACATCAAACCTTGTCCTTTGTTAGACACCACATGTGACCACATTGATGGACATGATCAGTGGCAGCTTCCCTTCTTCCTTGACGTCAGTGTTCATTGTAAGCTGTCTGTCAGAAAGCTGATTTCACAAATAAGTGAGTTGCTTATTTAGGTTCATAAAAGAGCTTTTATTTCTCCACTTTGGCTGATCCTTTCTTCTTGCTGATGATTATCAGGTCAGAAAGTGTCTCTGAGTAAGGACAGCTAATGGCTTAAAAGTTCTCTCTTCCAACTGTTTCAGACCCCTGGCAGAGAGGTGCCAGGGGCTCAGGAAAGAATGGCTAGAGCCACTTAGGCACATTTTTCTTACCTTCTTTTGTCTCACATTCTTCAGGCACTTCAAGCACCATCATGTGTAGAGTACCTTTTCCTTCTCATTTTGTATCTCCAACATTGTACTTTGCACTGTGAAAATGTTCAATACATGTTTGGAAAAAATAAATTGCAGAAGTGAGAAACAATTTTATATCAGGAATGTTTCTACAGAGCAGACAATGGTATTTGGCATGGTGTGTGGTGCTGCCTGATGTCTAAGTGGTGTGCCCTGGCACAGCCCACAGCCCTCAGGTTTCAGAGCAGGTTCCCTTTACTCAGGATATCTTACCCTCCTGAGGTTTAAAAGGTTTTCAACAAAGATGAAAGGAGAAGTATTTTTAATGACAAAAGTTATGCACAAAGCACTTAGTGAATCTAAGTTAAGTGCAAGACAGTAGCTCTGAGCCAGATTTGATGTCAGTGACTGTTTCTGCCTATCCCAGCCACCACTACCACCAGCCTCCTCGGGTTTGGAATATCTTTTAGAGGTGCTACAACTTGGGTCATGTTCCTGGGGGGTTTTGTTTGTTTATTTGTTTTCAATTTGAATTAGTTTTATAATAGGATCTGAAAATTTTGTGTTGTCGTTAAGTGCTTTCGAGTCGTTTCTGACTCATAGTGACCCCATGCACAGCAGAACGAGACACTGCCCGATCCCACACCAGCCCCACAATCCCTGTTATACTTGAGCCCATCATCGCAGCCACCATGTCAATCCATCTCGTTGAAGGCCTCCCCCTCTTTCGTCAACCCTCCACCCTACCAAGCATGACATTCTTCTCCAGGGAATGGTCCCTTCTTACAACATGACCAAAATAGGTGAGACGAAGTCTGGCCATTCTTGCTTCCAAGAAGCATTCTGGCTGCACCTCCTCCAGGACAGATCTGTTAGTTCTTTTAGCAGTCCATGGTACTTTCAGCATTCTTCGCCAGCACCACAACTCAAAAGCATCAACTCTTCTTCGGTCTTCCTTATTCGTTGTCCATCTCTCACATGCATACGAGGCAATTGGAAATATCATGGCTTGTGTCAGGCGCACCTTAGTCCTCAAGGAGATATCCTTGCTCCTCAGCACTTGAAACAGTTCCTTCGCAGTTGACTTTCCCAGTGCTACACGTCGTCTAATATCCTGACTGCTGCTTCTGTTGGCATCGATTGTAGAACCAAGCAACGTGAATTCTTTGACAGCCTCAATCTTCTCTCCATTTATTGTGATGCTGCTCATTGGTCCAGTTGTGAGGATTTTTGTTTTCTTTATATTGAGATGTAATCCATACTGCATACTGTATTCTTCAACCTTCATCAGTAGGTGCCTTAAGTCATCCTCACTTTCAGCAAGCAAAGTTGTATCGTCTGCATATCTCAGGTTGTTAATGATTCTTCCTCCAATCCTGATACCACGTTTTTCTTCATATAGTCCAGCTTCTCAGATTATTTGCTCAGCATATAGATTGAATAAGTGTGGAAATTAGTGTATTTAAATATTTTCTTTAATTTAAAATTAATTATGGAATTAAGTACTCATTTCTGAAAATTCAGGAAGTAACATATTAAAGACAATTAATAGTTGTTTGACCTGTGAGCCCACCACCTGGTGTCCCCTCATGGTATCTTGCCTGCGCTCACACAGCTGTGCAACTAACTGTCCTGTGAGACTGAGGATGTATAGCACCACTACCTGACCTTAAGACAGAGTGTTAGGTATCAGCTGTGATACTTTGAACACATTCTTTCCTTTCTCAAGCTTGGTTTCTTGTGGGGATAGAGTGGACCTTAAACAGTCACTGTGAGAAGTAGTTGAGGTAACACTAGTAACAACAGAGTGTGTGGCATTTAGCAAAGTTCCTTTTGCAAAAAACTACTACTATTCCTGTTGTCACTGTTCTTACCATCTTGATGGTGTTAATTTGTACTGTGTGAAGAATTGCTGTTTAAACTCTAGTAGAACTTGTGAAGATGTTGAAATGATGAGACTTTGGCTGAAGATTCTGTTTGAAAGCACATTTCTGTGATCACATTATGGAAAGAAGGTTGAGCCATCTACTTCCATAGTGATACTACCTCGGAAACCCAAGGGAGGGGGTCAGTATGAGTAGGGTCCGACTCGACAGCACATAACAACAATAACAAAATGATCACATTACTCTTCAGCTTTTCATTGTGATGTAGTCTCAGACAGTGTCACAGGTGGCTCTGATGCATAGACTAGTAAGGGCCTTGATGGTCTTTAACCTGATTTGCTAAAACATCGTAATGTAGAATAAGAATTGGGGGTATCGGGGTGATTGTGTTGAGGGAGGGGTTTGTTGCCATGATGATTGATAACATCAGTGCAGTGAACTAAATGAGGGTGAGGAAGTAATTGTTATTAGAGGCAATGTATCTGGTTTTAGTTGTCAACCATTTGACACAAGTCTTGTAAATGCTGAGAGTCTGCCAGGAGGACCACTACTGGTGTTATTGGAATCTTGATTCCATAGAGGTCACAGTGACACAGTTAAGTGGTTGGCAGGGGTGAAGGCTGTCATGGATGAATCTAAGATGCACAAATGCAGCATTGAAGGTTGCAGTATCAACAGCCTGGGCTATCTTCAGGTGAGTAGTCTATGAAAACAATGTTCATTTAGAAACCATCAACTCTTAGTGGTGCTATGCCTGTCAGTGATGAGAGGTACTATCCTGCCTGCAGGGAGCTCTGGTAGCATAGTGGCTAAGACACTTGCCTGCTAACCAGACGGCTGGTGGTTCAAACCCACCAGCCACTCCTCGGAAGGAAGGTTGGGCAATCCTACTTCCGTAGTGATACTGCCTCGGAAACCCAAGGAGGGGTCGCTATGAGTCGGGGCCGACTCGACGGCACATAACAACAACAACAACAACATCCTGCCTGCAAGGCAAGATCTTTAGACCAGAGCACCCTGGGCACATCATTGTGCATAGCCTGTGTGCTTCTGCACAATGGCTTTAGCCCTGATGGACATCCTCTATGCATTCTGCCAATCAAATCCTGGTCTATGGTGGCCTACCTTGGCATGGGAAGTGATGAGAGAGGATCTGCAGATGTCAAGGTCTGAGTCAACAGAAGTTTGGAATGCAGGAGATGAAAAACATTCTGGGAGCCTCAGTGAGCAGTTCTGATATAGATACTAAGTGGTTAAACCCTCTTCAGCCAAGAGGAAAGCCTCCTGGGTTGGAATGAGAAAAACAATTGCCAGGAAGAGACGTGGATATGGACAGTTAAATGTGGAAGGGGAAATGAACATTAGAAAAATGAGGTGCAGGGCTCATTATAATATAAACACTTTAGGGTTTTTGTTTGGTTTTGTTCTTGTTACTTTACTGGAGGCCCCAAATAGCCTGAAGGTCATGGTGATGACACTGCACACAGGCATGTCTGCTCTAAGACTGGCTCAGACTAGAACCTTTTGGGCTACATTTACCATTCATGACCACTCTTCAGGTAGGAGCTGCCTGACTTTTACTGACAAAAAACTTGAGGGTGTCTCACTTCAGCCTATAGCATATAGCCATGCAACAGGGTGAATGCAGAGTCTGCACTCCAAGGCTCATGTCCAAGGCTCAGGGAGAGTGGTGGCTCCCCCATTTCTAGTCAGTGCCAAAAGAGAGTAAAGGACAAAGAGTGGCTACAGGAGAGGCCTTGGGACTTGAAAATGGACTGTATTGTGCTCTGGCAAGTCAGAGGCCCCACACATCTGTGTAGGTCTCACTGGACATTCTGTGTGCTTCCACCTACTGCAGCTAGTTCATATTTTCTCTCTTTCCCCTTTCTAGGTTAAACGCTCAAGGAGTAAAGGTGGGCTAGCAGGCCCTGATGGCACAAAGTCTGTGTTTGGGCAGATGTGTGCTAAAATGAGTGCCTTTAGTCCAGATAGCCTCCTACTCCCACACCGAGTTTGGAAAGTCAAGTTTGTGGGTAAGAACCTCCTCTGCATACTGAAGAGCTCAAGAGTTCCAGAGGTACTGATAGGGTGTGAGCACCTGTCCTTCTGGGGTGCCTGAAAAGCTCACTTATATTTCATATTACTCTTCAGCTTTTCATTGCAATGTAGTTTCAGAGAGTGTCACAGGTGGCTCTGATGCATAGTCTAGTAAGGGCCTTGATGGTCTGATTTGCTAAAACATCGTAGTGTAGGATGAGAATTGTGGGTATTAAGGTGATTGTATTGAGGGAGGGGTTTGTTGCCATGATCCCCATAGTAAGTGATTAGTTTGCTTCCTTTTCTCTCAAGGTGAGTCAGTGGACGACTGCGGTGGTGGATACAGTGAGTCCATAGCTGAGATCTGTGAGGAGCTTCAGAATGGACTCACTCCTCTTCTGATTGTGACGCCCAATGGCAGAGATGAGTCTGGAGCCAACCGGGACTGCTACTTGCTCAGCCCTGCTGCCCGGGCACCTGTGCACATGAGCATGTTCCGCTTTCTGGGTAAGTGCTGGCTGGGCTGGCCATTGGTGCCATGCCTGATCATTCATGATTGTTGTTTTTTTGTGTTTTTTTTTTTTTTTTTTTTTTT